TGCTGGTTACAGTTAATCAAACCATCTACGGGCGAAAGAAAATTGAATTTTCTTAATTTTTCCTTTAATTTCACATTCTCGTCAATTTGAAATTTAAATGGAGGAATTAATTTATCTACTGTAGCGAAATTATCTGAAAACGTTGACAATATTTCTGCAAAAGCTTCGAAACGGTCCATTTTTAGATTCCAGTCCTAATAATGAATAGAAACGAAAGTATCGAATACGATCACCACGAGATCATTGATATTCCCCCAGGTTTCCGATTAATTTGTCAAACGATACAAACATTATCTGGACGAATTTCCTGTAACTTTTGATGGCGTGACGAGCGAAACGACCTGCTTGTTCCGCTTTGTTGAAAAAGAAAGGAAAGGAGAGAGAAAAAGCTACGTACCCGCCGGTCACTCGATATCATACGAAACTCGACGACTTGTCCCCGATATTCTCGCCAGAAACTCGAAACGAAGCGTCATACTGTGTCAAAACTGTGCATCGAATGACAGACAGTGTAATAACCTGACCGAAGGGAAGGTTTTGGGAAACTGGGAGACAACCTCCGAGCGAAGAACGAATTTCGTGACGTTTAATATTCCCGCTGAAACGACAGTGCTTGACCGAGGATCCAACCGATCTGCGACATCTGCTGTGACAGATTTGTTTATTCGACGAATTAAAAAATTTGAATATTCAATCAGCCACATGTTCCCTTTCCGTCTTTTTATAGAAAAAAACATTGTCACACGTCAGCGCAGCATATTTTATTTTGCAGGATGCTCAGAAGCTACGTTGATTAATCTGAGAAAGTGAAGGTAAATCAGAAAGCAAACATGTTTCCATTCTAGAGAATTAAAATTATTCGATAAAATATTCGAACTTCTCTGAAGTTCATCGCAACATTTTCATCCGCAATTTTTTTTTTTATCAAGTCAATGATCGAATTCTTTTCTTAACACGGTGGCTACAAAACTGAACTTCGTGAATTCGCTTGATATCTTTCTCGTCGTCGTTTGTTTCTTCCATTTGTTTCTTCTAGTCAGCTTGTAAAATTTCAAGAAATCTAAGTGCTTGCCTGCAGCACCGTGAGAAACGATCTCATTGCCCTCAATAGTGGTGAACGAGACTTCCGCAGAAGTTAAAAATCTGTCTACAGCGAAATATCCCTATTATCGTAATTAATTCTTGCTAATTAACACGAGAGAGAAACCCAGCAATTTTCCCAAACTATCGAGCAAGCATCAGCAACACCGGGCTCCATCGCCACGAAACGCGTAACTATTGACAGAAACACAAGTCACGTAACACGACGGGCATACATTCCCAATCGAATCACTCATTCTTGAACGTTTCTCCCTTGACAAAGAGGGAGAGAATCTCGGGGAGATAATAAATGGAGAGGTGAAGAGAGAGAGAGAGAGAGAGAGAGAGGAGAGATGGTTTAATTTTAAGCGACAAAGTACGAAGCCGCACCGTGTAAACGAATGAGAACGAGATCCGAAACGTTTCGCAGCGGCGAGGAACGCTTGGATTCGAGCCTAATGGCCCGTTGACCTTTCAGCACCTGTTGATTGTCGTTTATCAACGATTTGCATGCGCAGATTTGCCGGGATCACCTGGCTGCTAAGCGAAACGAAAGGGTTGTCCTCGAGGGGCGCACTGATCGACGCAGCAATCCCCGTAGAATCGTGATGCATCGCGTTATCCCGTGGCTCGCGCCGCGGCTCGAATTTATTGATTTTCGATTCGTGGCCATAGCCTCCTTCTCTCCTGCTCTCTCTCTCTCTCTCTTTTTCTATCTATCTATCTTCCCATCTTTTTTTATCTCTCGTCGGCGGAGTTTCCTCTCGTTATCGGCAAATTGGAGTGCGCGAAAGTTGCGCGGAATTTTTCGTTGACCTCGAGCGAAGGTACTTTGGAGTTTTGTTTCGTTTGAAACCTCGCGGCCTTGAAAAGCACAGAGACGAAGATGTTAATTGACGACAAGTGGCTGTCGTTCGAATGGCGGATGAAGAGGTGCAAGTGAAGAGGGAGCTGAGAACGATTAATGGTTTCACGGCTGGATATGGAGAGATTAAACTCTCACGAAACCCTCTTCGATCGGGATTCGTAACGATTCGGTTTCAAATTAGCTCGTAGCTCGCGGTTTCTTATCGTGGTAAGTATAATTAATCCCTACAACGTTGTGGGATTACATCTCTCCTTTTTACCTCTCCTTGAACGAGACTGTGGCTCCGCGCAGTGTTTCAACGCGGCCCTCGCTTGGGTTTTGCGTCTCGAAACTCACTCGAAGGTCCGACGAAGTTGCTACGTTGTTCGAATTCCTCTTCGAAGTTCTTCGAAGGGTCGGTATTGATTATCGAGACTGCTGGAATGGTAAGGATGTCTGCTTGAATACTTCATGCACGTAATTAGAATGATCGCGAAGCTGTGCGTGATACGGTCAGACAAGAAGGGAGAAGAGAATTTCTTTGGGAATGAAGGCGATACGAATCACAAGTAGGTACGAGAGAGCCAAAAAATTGTGATGTTTTTCGGGTCCGTTATCAAATAAATCTCAAACGTCACAGTCAATTTGCTGGGCGCAGTCCAAAATTATTATTTAGTGCTGATAGCTCTTTAAATTATTCAATTTGAAATATCTACGTAGTTGCGAATTTAACATCACAGCAATTGCAGTGAAAAAATTCGCAAAATAGTTGCTGAATAAAACTGATACCTCAGCTATTTTACGTAATAAAATCACTTCACATTGTTTAATTATATATTGCCTGATTATACAATTACGTATATTGATAATAATAAACATATTAATTATATTCTGTCTAATTGTATAATTATATTTACTGACAACAATAAATATATTAATTATGCAATTTATTTACGGTCATGTGTAAACGGTCTCTCACATCGAAGCCATCTTGCTGTCAAAGATCGAAGACCGATAACAATCAATCCCAGTTCAACTTCCTCTAAATTGTTTCGCTCATTTCTCCTCGTTTCGTATCTTCACGCGGATCAATAAACTGCAAGTAGTAACAGCGCAATAAACAGCAACTGTTGGCGTCACAAAACGTAGAGTGGCGAAAGGTTGAGGTATTCCATGCGATACTAAGCCAGTATGCTATCGTACTACAGATTGACCGTAAAATGCAGGGCACACTCGCAGTGCCAGGGGTGAAATCCAGTCGCAAAAAGCCCTGAAATACGAACACGCCTTACGTCACCTCTCCTCTCCCTCTAATCCCAGCGCAACCAGTGCTGCAATCTCTTCGAAACTGTCGTAATTCGTTTTATCGATACGAACGAAAAAGGTTGTTGGAGCGAAGAGAGCAGGATTTCTAGAGCCGCCGTTATCCCACGAACGAATTATCTCTCGTAAAACACAAGAGTCGATGCACCGCAAACGTTGTTGGCGATATTTCACGAGCTTTACGACGGCTGTTTCATCGCAACATTGTTTTTGCATCGGTCTCCCCTCCCCCCCTCCCCCCTCCCCGTGAAATCTCTTCTTTAGTGTGATTCTTCGCGAAGAAAGTATTTTTTTTTTTTTTGGTTTCTCTTTGTCTTTAATCTTTTTGTAAATATACAACTCTATGTGGAAAATTTCTTTGTTCCCAAAAATCCTGATCTCCCCAGGTTTTGTTCTCGCATTTTACATTCTCGATATTGAACATTTTCATTCGATACCGAATGAAAAGAAAAGTAAATCCATTCGCGTGGCACAATAGAATAGGGATTCTGCGCGAAAAATCTTGTTCGACAGTCCGTATGTATCAATTCTCCCTAACCGTTTCCATTGTTTCTAATCTGTGCTGTTTTCATTCCCAAAATATTTTTAGTCTATTTTATTCGTTTTCAATATCGAACGCACGAAGGGGTGAATTATTTTTTCGCGCCGAAAGAAAGAAAAAGAAAAAAGGGAGTAGAAAGGAAACAAAGGGGTAAAAAGCATTCCGTATCCAAACGTCGAGTCGAATCAGTTTTTATCCTTCGTCGTTTCACATCGCAAGGACACGTTCCGATCGTCCTGAAACACGGAAACTTTATTTTCCCCCGTGCACAAGTTACAAGACGATCCACCGTAGGCGAACAGTTTTGTACACATTTCACTTCACGTTTCACTATCTCAGGAGTAGTGTACTTTCGATCTTTGCGATGCGCTTAACCTTGAGGGGTGAAATGTCGTTTGCATTCTCAGCGCCATTTACTCGGCCACGAATTCGCCCCCCTCCCATTCGAGTCGAGTTGAAAAATAACGACGGGATTAAATTATTTATTTTATCGAGCGGTTCGGTAAGTCGGTGATATCATGTCGCGTGAGAACGGTAAAACAGGGTATAACGTCACCGTGGACTGGCCACGAGGAAACGAAAAGCTCGACGAATGACACGATAGCACACGATAAATAATACAGCGCGACTATGCTCGCCACGCATTTTCGTCGCTGTGCACCCTGACGTATCACGATATCCTATTCCAAAGTGTCAAGATGCCGTCTCCTTTGATGCGAAAGTAATAAAATAATATTATTTTTATGTTGATGGGTACGGCGTTGCATAAAATTTCTGTTAAATCATCCGACAGTTGACAGTCACAAAGGGAGTGGGTGTAATATCTTTAAAATTAAGAAATTTCCTGTATAAGGGACCAACCAATTGAATCAAATAATAAATTAATGAATCAACGCCAGCTAAATCGATTTTAATCACAACCAACTAACATGGAAATGTAATTTAACGCAATTTTCTGATAAAATTCGCAAGAATCATAGAATTTAAAAAATCGCAAAAGGATGTTACGAATTTTTCGTATTGAATATTTATTAATGAATTTGTCAAGAATTCAGGAGATTTTATTTGTAACAACTGGTCTCTAGTCTCTTTAGTAAACTACTTATTAGTAAGTAGTCTCCTAATTAGTGAATAAAAATTATCGTCTCTCCCTCTTCGATTATTATCGTTAAAGTTAATGTAATAAAAGGTCGTTTCTATTGTCGACAGTTGTTCATGATCGATAACTGCGCGGACGATTGGCGGATCGCGATGACCTGGCAGAGGATCGCGCAGATTTCGCTCGAGTTGATAATCTGTGCGGTCCACCCGATCCCGGGGGAGTATTACTTCCTGTGGACGACCAAGCTGGCGAACAAGGGCGGTGACTTCGGCTCGAAATGGGTGCCGTACGACGTCACCCTGTCGCTGCCGATGTTCTTCAGACTCTACCTCATCTGTCGCGTTATGCTGCTGCACTCGAAGCTGTTCACCGACGCCTCGTCGCGCAGCATAGGGGCCTTGAATCGTATTAACTTCAACACCAGATTCGTCCTGAAGACCTTGATGACCATTTGCCCGGGGACCGTGTTGCTAGTCTTCATGGTCTCCTTGTGGATCATCGCATCGTGGACGTTGCGCCAGTGCGAAAGGTAACATAATCTGTAATAATAATACAACGATGATTTTTAATAACGGTAATAAGGTTATTATAGAAATGATATCTCTTTAAGGGATGACGTGAGATGATTGTATATTGTCGATTACTGTTCTTTTCTTTTTTCGAAGAACAGCGATCATCGACGATGAAAACTGGAGGATAGTCGCGTGTGAATATTATCACTGAATTGCAGATTTAAGAATCTAATTTAACAACCACGTGTGTGCGGAATAAGCGTTTTAAAACTGTAAATGTGATTTTCTTCGTATCATTCTTAAGAGATTTTCGTGACGTAAATTTTTGCCATCGCCCCGTGTCTGAAAAAACTAGAAAAACTAAAAAAACTAAAAAAAACTAAAAAATATTTCGAAATTCTTCTTTCTGTTTCCAGTTCCAAACTTTTAATTATTTTCCATTTATCCCACAAGAAGTGAAGAGAAAAAAATACTCGTTTCTCTGATTTCTCCCAATTTCTCGCAGACTACAGAACAGATGAATGAACGAAGCAATAAATGAATTGATCGTACATTTCTCAAGCCACACCGTAACGTACGAACACCGTGAAAATCCTAAACGCAGGACATATACTATAGTGTTCGAGCGTCGAAGAAGGTGGAACGTACGGTCGGTAGTTAAAACGACAATGAAGGATTTACTACGAGGGGGTTGGGATTGCCGAGCCGCGTGTAATTAAATCCTCTTGTAAATAACGAAGGCGATTTAGGGAATCGTAAAGGGCATCGAAACGATCGATCCTGCGGGCCAATATAAGCCTTCGCCAACATCTCGCGCGCGACTAAGCGACCATACCTCCAGATTTTTCCCTTTTCTTCTCCTTCTTCTTCTTCCCTTTTCCGCCATTCTTCCTCGATAAAACCTTCGTTCGACTTTCCTCCCCTCACCCTCTTCACTGATGGAAATGGACCTGTTCCGGCCTTCTACTCGAATAGAACGTCCATCGGTTACATCCGTACTCTTTCTGTCCGTGTGTCTCGCAGTGTCTTCAGCGCTGGATAAAGAGGGGACGAGTGAAATTTTCCTCCATATATATATATATATGTATTGTCGAAGCGTATTCCCTCTCTGTCTCTTTCCATCTCTGTTTCAATCGGTATCCTTCTTAAGAGGTCGATGCCTGCCTCCCAATTCCTCTCCAGCTCGGATCCCGGATGAAATCTTCTGAGAATTTATAACGCCGTCTCGACAAAGAGATCTGGAAAGATTGCGCGAGGAGATTTAAGGGACAGATAGATGTTGTATTAATTAAAATCTGTATCACGTGCGTGAATCTGTGGGAAGATTCTCCGATGTATAGTGTGGTTTGCAGGAAGGATTCGAGTGTTTGTTTTCAGAAAATTTTTGCATACGTGAAGAATATTGAAATTGATAGAGTTTGAAAATGACACGAAAATGATACATGAATTTACAAGATATAACGTGCAGAAAAATATATTAATATTTTTTTTTAATATGGTGCTTTTTAATATAGTATAAAATATTGTATTAAAAAATATTATAATGAATATGAATACTATATATAGTATAAATATACTATTTTTAATGTAATATAGTATATAATATAAAATATATTGATATAATATATTTTTAATATAGTATATTACATTTATAATAGAGTATATTGATACAGTTTCTTTTTCTTCAAGAATAGTGCAAATATGCATTGAAATTTATAGTTATTTAAACATAAACATAATTAAAACACAAGACGTAAGTACAGATAATTTTAGTTGAATATAAATAAATAAATAAATAAATTCTTTCTCCTGAAAACTTGACTCGAATCTAATATCCAAATAATTTGAGAAAAATCGAAATCATATCATCCGCAGAGAACGGATTAAACATCTATTCGTCGTTTGTTCAAAAAAAGAAATTCCTCTTGTGTTTAAAATCTGTAAATCTTTTCCATGGTAACTTTTCCTTTGATTTTCAATCCTCGCTTTTCTCTCAAGTCCCAGACTCTGGAAAATTAGAATTTTAGACACACGAGACCCAAGGTACTCGGCTCCAGGAAACAGACCTTTCTCTCGAGATCCACGAGATTCGCGTGTGTAAAGAGAGCTTTGGCGGATGCTTCCTGCATCTTGCACGATTTCCGTGCGTGGAAAATGGCGATAGAGTCGCAGCCATTCTATTACGATTGTCCTGACATGGACGTAAAGTTCTTAGAAATGCTACTTTCATACAATGAAACAATAACTTGCGAACACTGGGTTTACGTACAGCGCGTATCGTCGAGTAATACCAATGAATTTAGGAAAAATAAATGTTTGAAGACATTGTCGTAAAATAGAAAATCCCTGGAGCAACGAATAATCTCCAAAAGAATTTATAAGAATTCATATTTTTGCAAATAAATTCTAGAAGAACTCGTATTTTTATAGAAGAAAAATAAATAAAAATTTGTTTCACTAACTACATATATACAAAGAATGCTTTACTTAGTTATTTTCTGTATCTCTAAACTTTCCATAAGTATAGAAATATTACAGTCTATTAAATAAGACTGTGTGTTTTAAGACAACTATTGGAACGACTATAAACTTTTTGATATTAACTAAAATTTCATAATCTCTCGAATTGTAAATATGTAGAACCATACTGTGGCTTACATAAAATTACATTTAATTTACATTTTTCAAATGCCAATGTGTCACTGTTTGTACTAGATCGATGTTAGAGATGATTCTTCCAGACATCTAAAAATTAACAATACGTTTCCAAATCGATAATACATGTGCATTTTCAAAATGCACATGGAACTATTCGAAAAATAACGCGACATTATCGATGTTTCAGTCACCAATGCCGAAGCATTTCGTTTTTGAACATTAAGCTGCAACATTGTCACTTTTTTCGGCAAAAAGTAATCTGGTAAATCGCCGTCCTCCTTTCTCCTTTTATGGCTTCGCCTGTCTGATCTAAGTACCTTTAAAGCTGTTCGATGCTTTTAACGATACGAGATGTTACGACCGATAGCTTGACACTTTTTTTTTCAAGCTCTTAAGATTACCCATGTCTTTTTAGCCATCAAATTACACCTCGTTTTTATGGTCAATCTTTACGTTCGACAATAATCTTTTTAATCAGACAATTCCTTCTCCGTGAAACGTGGTAAAAAATATTGGACATATTTCACAAACAATTAGTTTAACAATAACACAATAACACAACTGATTTGAACATTCCCTCAATTTAATTTTCGTTGACACGTTTTCATCATCGATTTACTAATTCTATTTTATAAAATCTCACGTTACAATTACAATTTCGATAATGTCGAAATAAATTATAGGTCGTTTTAATTATACAGTGCAAAATCATCGATCACAATATATTTCACCAATTTTATCGTCTTACACGCTGCGAAACATTCTAATCCCTGTCCGTGTCTTTCCCCCGCCTCGACTAGAAGGTATTACAATTAATAGTGCAAGAAGTTCTACGAAAGCAGCCACTCGACTGCGTTTCCTGCCTCCATTTATCCCCCGTTTGAGGCGTGCAACGTCCCACGCTCCATTTCGGAAATCCTACCACCTCGTCCCATCGTTTCAATTATTTCAAGTGGGAATCGCACTTTCGGCAAAAACACCTCATCAACGTAACCCAATTACGCGCCTTAATGCCGACAGGTAATTAAAAAAAGGTGCTGCAATTGGCAAAGTGAAATGGGTGAAATTACATTTAACGGCGTTACAAACTGGAAAAGTCGCCTTTGGCTCGAACAAAAATGGAAAAGTCCTCTAGAGACGGAGATAATTATTTGACAAGTTAACTGAAAAGGAATTTGCGGCGAAGCGTTAACGTATTATTTAACGCTTGTTGAACTAATCCAGATAAATAGAACCCACGCGTTTTATTTTCGGAATGATTAAAAGCTTGCAGGAGTTTTCGACGAAATGCGTGAAAATAATTTCAGGTTCTCTATTCCTTTGAGTTGCTAAAAATGCTACAAACTCTTTTGGTAACGTTAGAACGTTAAAACGTTACAACTGTGAGATCAACGTGTTTCAGATATTTTTAATTTTCCTCGTGAAAATGTATCCTTTGCACGAATCACGCATTGAGATGACGAAAAATACTATTATCCTTCCTATTTAACAGAGGTGTGCGAGAACCCGAAATATCAGATCGAGTCAGGAACATGAAATTTTTTCGGGATCGGGACGTGTACCTAAAAATTTCGAGATTCTCGAAAGAGTCGGGATTCCCGAAAGAGTTGTGATTTGGGAAACAAGCTTAAATAATTCGTTAAACCCGTCTTCAACTGTATCGAAAGGTCGCAGATCTAGAATCATCATTCGAGCAATTCCTTCTGTTATATCTTTTGGCTTAACAATCTTTCGCGTATCATTTTGTACATGCGACAAATTTTATATCGATTCAGTTTCTTTTCTAGCACATATACTAATGTTTGAATGCATATGCTTCAAATGGCGCAATAAACCAGTAGTATTTGCTTACCTAATTTTAAATTCATGGTGACAATGCGTGCATTCTGTCTTTGTATCGTCTTTTTCTTGAAAATGTTCCCAAACAGAGCTTCTCTTTACCTTCTTCCTTTGCACAATATCTTCTGCACTACTTCCTGCTACCACAACTTTACTCTCACTATCACTCGACGTTGGTTTTAAAGATTTTCAGTCTTTATTAAATTCACACAGATTTTGAAATATACGTCTGACCTCCCCGAGTTTCTCAGCGATACTGCTCAACAGCGTACATAATATCCAAATGCTAAGCACGCAGTCACACGTTCGTATACCTCAGGTCACACGATTCTTAGAATCCGTGTTTCCAATAACTTCACTGGCAGAAGAAATTGAACTGTGTATATACATATTTTGTAGGCTGTTATACAGCACTGCAGAATAGTTCCGACCCGTTCCCGATATTTTCGGGTTCTCGCACACCTCTACTATTTGAACAAATTTTTACAATACTGTACTAAAAATTTTTACTTTACTATAGTCTTTTCCATTAAAAAGAAAAAAAAAAAAATACGCGAGGGCGAACATGCAACAATATTATATATTATAAAAAAATTATTTTAAAAAAATATACTTTAAATTTACTTTACCATAGTCTTTTCTATTAAAAAAAAAGAATACGTGAGGGCGAACATGTAACAATATTATATATTATAAAAATTTTATATATTATAAAAAAATTTACTTTAAAGCAGTACGATCCTCTCCGATTTTATGTGACCGCGGCGATAAAATTTCTCACTTTCACTTTACACGAAAAGCAACTTTCCTGAGAATATCCTACGTGCAAGCCAAACGTCCAACAAATCTTCGAAATCTTCGACCAGCCGAAAGAAGTAAAAAACCGAAGAAGCGAAATTAAAACGCGTCGTACCGTGCCGAAATTATAAATCCGCAAGTAGGGAATATCGAGTTGACGAATTTGGACGGATCTGCCGTGAGCAAAGTCAACAGGGATCGTGTCCCAGACAGAAGCGGTAAAAGAGATCTCGCCTCTAAAAGGAATCTGCTGTAACACCGGCTGTCCCATTAGAAGAGCTCGGTTTAACGAGCCGGATTAGACGGCGCGCGTGTTATTTTGATGTTTCATTCCGGTTAACGATTTCCAATAATGAATTCCGTGAATCGGAGGGAAGGGCACGTTCGTAACGAATGAATTAAAAATCGGCACTGATATAGGTCGCATTGTCGTAACAGTCGTTAGCCTTTCGGAACTTCCTGCTCTACAGGAGGAGAGAACGATTTCGTTCGAGCGGATGCACGCGTAATTCGCTTTTTAATTCGAGTCCCTCTTGTCATGCAATTACAAACGTACGCGTGCGGTTTAACCGTTTAACGAGAGCCGAGCAATTGGCCAATTAAGCGATTAAAAAGATTGTGAGATAGGACAATCGCGGTAATGAATAGGTAGCGTCGTTATTAATTTCTAGTAGTTTAGACAATTGTAGAAAGGAATAGAGCATAGCATTGCAATCAGACAGTAATATACGCTCGTGAGACTGTACACTTGTGACAGATTTTCATGAGTATATTATGTAATAACATTTTGAAATTTTTTTAACACTGCCATGAGATGAACCACATGAACTTACAAAGTATTGTGCACGATGATGAAAATATACAGACTGCATCTATACAATATGAAAAATATATTGTAGATCCAAAAAAAAAGAAAGAGAAATTTAACAGTACACGCTTTTACGATATAAAGATGTTCGTAAAATTATAGATAGATATAACATCATAAGGATATTAGTAAATTAATAAATTAATTATTTTGTTATCCAAATTATTATTTTTATAATTTTAATGTTATTGCTTTTGTCAAAAATTTGCTTTAATAAAAAAAAATTTTTAAATTATAAAAACTTCTCTTTGATATATAATCTGAAATTATTTTTAAAATATTAAGTATTTATATTCATATTAATTTATATATTGCAAGTTTATTTCTATCAATAAATTATTGTTCAAATGTTAATTTAGTTTTTGAAAGGATTTACTATGTCACAAAAGATAGAAATTCATTTACATGAATAATGAATAACAACATAAAGATATGGAATTGTACGAACATATCTACTCCAAAACTGAAGAATTTTTAGTTGTAGAAACGTGTTACTTGACAAAAAGAAAAAAGAAACTTATTTATAAGCTAATCCATGAAAGTTAAATAATTAAATATTTTACTGGACAAAACTGAATTACAAGCTGACTATAAATTAAATTACAAGCTAAAACGACAAATTACAAACAAACTAATTTATAAGCTGACCTATGAAGGTTCTTTATAATTAAAAATTATCCTAACATTTTTAAACGAGAGTGTATAGCCGAAGAAAAGTAAAGGAATGTACAAAATTTTTCTTTAGGTGATTTTAAAAGAACATTTTCAGCTTGTTTAAGTGATGTTAGAATTGCCTTTGCGTCGTGAATAATTTCCACGTTGAGCCATAATCTCTTGGCTATATTTACGTAACTTTAAAAATTTATATAGAGAAAAAATATTTTTATGTGATATGCATCGTTATGTAAAGTACGTTTTTACATTGGCGTGCATCAATAATAGCAGGAAAATACAATTTATCGAGTGCTATTGAAGGAAAGGTAAATAGCGCAAAGTGGAAGTAGATTGAAGCCGTCTATGATCAGACGCGTGACTCGCGTGACTTCAACGACACTCGTCTTCCGTAACGTTCCCTCTCTCTCTATAGTATTTTTAAACTATCTTAACTTAATTAGAGTTCACCAAGTAAAGTTTCTTTCGTACGACGAATCTAAGCCATCAAATATTTATCTACTTGAACATTTTTCCTGCCACTAAACTATAGATACTCGTTTCATTTTTAACATTTGAAACTTTCTCTTCGCAGAAATGTTCTTAAATTAAATAATGGCAGTGATTCTAACTCATGGCGAAAAGTAAAAATGTGTTATAAAATAATGAGTGATGCGACGTGCGCAACATCTCAAACGATATTTCGCAACGAAATCGGAGAGATTGTAGTCGAGATTGTTATATCTAACAACGAAATCTCGCCGTGATTGCGAATAAAATTGCCCGAAAGGCCATAAAGTACATTAATGAAACATCTAACCGCTGAGAGATGCAATTATTGTATTGTGTTTGCCGGAGCCTCGTTTGAGAACGTCGTACTAATATTTTATCCTGTTTTCCGTTCTGCGGCGGCAGGTTTCACGACGAGGAGCACGCGAATCTCCTTAATGCTATGTGGCTCATTGCTATCACGTTTCTGAGCGTCGGTTTCGGTGACATCGTGCCCAACACGTACTGCGGTCGAGGTATAGCCGTTTCTACTGGAATAATGGTAAGGCCAAGATCCAAAGTTTAATATAGAAATTCTCGCGGGATTTGCATGCACCTATCGCGTTTCTCGGGGGAAGGGGAGGAGTAGGGGCTACGCCAGAAAAGAAACGTTTATTAAACATTTTCAGCTGAATCTCACGGTCTCTCGCAATAAATCTTCAAGTGCAACGCGCGTCTACCGCGTTTCTCTAAGGGCAGCATGTTGGGAAAGAAACGTTATTAAACCCGTCTTGGGTTCCACGATTTCACAGTTCCACCGCAGTTTTCGACGGAGAAAATTTGCAGTCTCTCGAGACACGAGAAAACACGAGAACACGCTGTAACATTTTTCGTTAAAAAAAAACAGTCGAGATTCTGAATATTCAATGAGAAAAGAAAATACAGTCGAACGCGTGGTTTACATTTCTGAAGATAACTCCGAAACGATTGTATTTCGCTCGACTATAATGAAAAGCGGTATCTGTTGAAGATTCAATTTGTAGCAAGTCGGCGTAAACTTTTTACAGCTTCGGCCATTAACCTTTTAAACGACGATACTTTACGGTACAATTACTGCTTTTCTTAATTATGTTTACTACGACCTGTTTACGGGCAATAATTACGTAATTACATTTACCTTCCCTTGGCAAACGGCAAGTTTATTTTTTAATTTAAAATACGTTCTATGTAGGAACAAGAAAGTTTTGCATCTTTGTACTTGTGCATTTAACGCCAAAATAGTCGAACTGAAAAACTTGCGATTTCTCACGGAAAATTTTGCAGACTTCTAATGATTATTTTTTTAAAAAATAATCTTTTCGTGAAATATATGGACATAGAACAACGGCTGAAAGCTTGTTCCCGCGTTGCATTCATTTTTCTTTTGAATAGTTCCTCCGGATAGGAACTTTCAACTTCAAATTAGATTAAATCGAACACCTCGACTTTTAATTCTTAGAATGTAAATTCAAAATTATGATAAGATGTCGATAAAATCCGTGTGTCAAGTTCACTTGACATAAAATCCAGCAGGTTTCGACGGCAGAGAAACAGAAAGAGAGCGAGAAAGAGAAAGAGAGAGAGAAGCAAGATGTTATCGATCGCAACATCGCGCCAAGTGCAGTTACGATGCATTCGGAGCGACACTTTGTGACGATAAACGTGACAGCCGGTCTAATCTCTCCATTGGGAATGCGCCTGGTTCCTTATTGTTACTGTGTTCTCTGCCTGATGCTAATTCACCGAGAGAGTGAGCCTCGTAGCCGCGAATCGTTAACCAATTTGGTGGTCGTGGCCAATTTTCCGTGAAATTTCGCTTGATGAACATGCACGAGTACGGTCCGGCAATGTTCCCGTTTATCACCTTGATTCTCATTTGCTTGTACGCTCGATGATTCTTTCCAAATTGATCGTGTCCAGAGGCAATTCCGGGGCTTAGACGAATTTACGAGAATCGCGTAGAATAATACTTCTTGGAACAATAATACATCCTGATCTTCCACTTTACGGCAACATCTTATTTGCATCGAAATTTTAATGTATTATTTTCTCTTATTACAGTGTATTTATAGCATTTGTTAATTTTTAACATTTGGGTTAAAGTAGAAAGTTACGGTCCATTAAAATTTTTTTTTTTTTTTTTGCCCACAAGAGGAACAAAATTTCAGTCGCAAATGATCAAACTTTTAATTCCAAACGAGTCAACAAATCCTTTCTGTACTATGGGAAATGCTTAGTCGCAAATTCGACTAATCGTATCGTGAAGAGTTTTATTTCCCCGGTTTCTTTTTCCAAGATTTTCTATCATTTAAAAATACGCCGCTTGTACTTTGAAGCATTATGAATGCAAAACGGTTTGAAATTCTCATTACTTATACAGATGTATTGTCAGAGTCTAAGAAATTCGTAGCATGATACCCGAGAAAAATTAATTACTAGATTTAGAAAAAATGGTCCTCTGCAGGGCAATATGGATAATTCGTGGCCGGAATTCGTATCACGTTCGCATCCCTCAGGTGCGTAGGAAAACAGATTACACGTATAATGATGGAATCAAATAAGTGAATACAGTTCTAACGACAGGAAAAAGGGATGATTGCCCTTAATCAGGGCGAAATACCCCTTGTTCGTGATCAGAATTTCTTATTGGTCACGTGGAAACTTCGTCAGCCAAGGGACAGAAACTTTTATCAGCGGACGGACACGTGAAACATTTTCTTCGTTACAGAAAATAAACTTTATCTAGGATGTTCCAACGATCATGGTACAATCGACAATATAGAAATAAAATTTTTCCATTTAATTTTCTCCCAATTTTCTACGTGCGTACCTGCTAAATTTTCAAATTTAATCTTCCCGGGAATGAAGCACCCGGACAATTTTTTTCATCGTGCATTTTTTTTTAAATTTATTTTCGTACGTAGAACGATTTGGCTTCATCCACTGCGAACGCAACTGAACGCTAGTGTACTCGACAAATTTTCAAACTGGATTTTCTTCCGTCACGAATGAAAAATCTACGTTTTTCCTACCTTTACGCTGTAATTGCTGAATAAAGTAACTTGAAACGCGATGAAATTTCATCCACTTACGGTAAAGTGGAATTTGTTCCTCCCCGAGGAAGTCTTTTCGGCTGAAGAATCGGTCAATTTGAAAACTTATTCGATAAAAATCTATCGGCAGCCATGCCGCGTTTCCGTTAGTTAGCAAACAGTCGCAAACGAGCAATAGTCGGGGGAAAAACTGTGAAATTCGGTTTACCCAGAGTCCCTTGCTCCCCCGATGAAATTTTGTAGAGAAAATAACGTCAAGTCGAAGTAATTTCCTGAGAGAAGTCTTTTACTTAGGGAACGTGACGTCCTCGTAAAATTGTCTACGTGCAAGGGGTTGAAAGGATAAAGCTACCACTTTTCGATATTACGAAAAAAGGAAAAGCTTCTGTAGCCTCCTATTTATATAAAAATCAAATATCCTTTAATTCTCTGTAATTTCATTTACTCGTAGACTGCAAATTTACGCATTTTTCCCAACAATGATCATTTAATTATATCTTTAATTATATTTAACTGTTTAATAATTACGTAGTGAAAATTCTCAATTATTAGAGATGTAATTTTTCGAAGAGAGGCATTGATTAGACAAACGTTGCATGCGCGTCGGCTTTCGCGTTTACAGATAACGGTAACGATAACTAACAATTTCGTTCGTTCAATTCATAAATGAGAGAATAAGTTTCGTAATTAAACATAGTGTGCATAGTTTCCAGTTCACAGGTACGTTTGACGGTGTTTTTAGGGCGCCGGATGTACGGCCTTGCTGGTGGCGGTTGTTTCCCGGAAGCTCGAGCTCACCAGGGCGGAGAAACACGTTCATAACTTTATGATGGATACGCAATTAACGAAAAGGGTAAGACACATCTGCTCGCGAAGATTATTATCATAAGTAGATGCCTCGATGGAATTAATTCTCCGTGAGGAACAGGTTATCCACATTGTCCATAAAAAAGCTGAGTTATTCATATTTACGGCTAATTTCTTTCTTTTTTTTTTTTCTAGTCTAGGTTTTTAAACAAAAATGTAAAAAAAATTTGAACGAAGTCTCTGCCATATTGTACAATAAGTTTTTAAATTAAATCTTTAAAAGATTTTTCAGGGGGAATAGAAACTTGTCTCGAAAAATTCGCGAATGAAATTTCGCTCGGAGGATAAACGGCCGACATTATCTAAAGGAATAAATAACACGTTGCACGAACAACCTTGAAATGCTTGTTATTTGTCAGAAATAATTAATGAAACGTGTTTTGTTTGAATTTTGTACGGCGAGTGAACAGATTGCTTTGCGAAATAGATAACTGTTTTAATATTCCCTATAAATTCTGAGGTGAATATTTTCTGCTCGTCAATGAAGATAGGAAACAATCTATCAATCTATAAAAATTCGAACGAGAGAGCAGGAGATTAAAAAGTTTTAGATAAAAAAAATTTCAGTCTCTAATCTAATCTTCGTTGAAAATTTCCCTGAACACTACTTAGTTTCTAACATTTTCAAGTGTTGTTTACTTCATTCTTCGAAGTAAGAAATTGAAAGTTTAACAAACTAAAGTTTCGCTTATATATATTGCGATATTCTCAGAGATCAATACACTTTTATTTTTAACGCAGATTACTTTACTTGGAGTACTGTGAGGCACGAGAAAGAAACTTCAATGGAATCTATCTTCTGTAACTTTTTCTCATCCATTGAATCTTTGAAGCTTTAATCGAACTTCTCGAGAATTTTAATCTTCCAATAGTAATTCACTCTTCTGGTTGTAGGACACTCTTTTTCTTTTCAATAATATATATATATATATATATATATCAATAATATTTATATTTCGTATATTGCTCCAAAGAAAATATAGTTAGAATTCGAGACTAAATTTATCGAAAAGGGGATAAATTTATCGTTTAGTTAGTAATTTAGCTAAAGCACGTTAGTTAATATTCAAATAAAATTCGTAACAACGAAATTGACCGACTCTCATCGAATATCCAACATAGATGAAGTGTGGACACGGGCTAACGTGAATTTACTTCTATTGAAGGAGCAAATCCCGCAAACAATTGCGAATGATTACGAGTATCTGTTCGCCGAGTAATATTCATACATTTAGAAAACTTATTGTCTGTGTTTGTACAAATTCGACGAAAACTATTCGACATTCTGTTAATCGAGGACGTACGCTCATGAATATACATACGTACATATGTGGTGAATATTTGAAGATGAATATATTCGTGAATTTGCAAATGTTTGCAAAAATTAAAAACAAGAAAGTTTCAAGTGACAATAATTTTTATATCCCTTTCTCTCTAATTTTTAATGAGTGGGCACATCAAGTAAAAAATGGAGGTATTATTATATATAATATAATGCAAACTGACTATTTGGAGTGGATAAAATCTTAATTATGAAAAAAAATATAAAATTCTTTATCTGATTTCTGATGAATAATCGGATGATCAACATATTTGCTGACCGATCGCAAAATTTTCAACAAAGTTGAAACCTTAGTAACCTATATTATAACCTATATTTTTATGTACAGATTTAACTCCAGCAATAAAATAAGTTCCATCTATGAGAGATAGCCTTTTGCTACTAAGAGATTTCGCTTTTTCGCTCTTTCGAAGTGTCCACGATCGCGAACGTATTTCACAAAAATCCACGCTGGCTATCTACGATCTGTATCGTTTGTTCTGTCCAGTTCCATTTAACCACTCAGCTCAAGCAAGCATATCAGAGTTTCGACAACTGGACGTATTGACGTTGACCGACACGAATCTTTCGGAACACAAGAGGCGCCAGTCTTGTTTCCAGGCCGGGCGCGAGACGAGCAGATCGTCTAATGTATCATTGTCATTTCTACCCCGTTCTCGATCGATCGACCGAGCATCGGGCAAGGGGCATCGCATCTTAAGAGGCAAGCACTGCCTCGATCTTCTACCATCACAGCGGACCGAGAGATATGAAAAATGACAAGCCAGAAACCAGACCTCCCTATCGATGGTTACTTGAAAAATCGATTCGTCCTTTCTTCCCACGATCTAGGACATTTCGTTTCCATCTTCGATCAACTCTGACCGATGGGTTTTCGATATTTTCGAGGAAAAATACGTTCTTTCCCGGGGGGGAGGAGGAGGAGAAACTTGATGAGGCAATTAACGATAGAGAATGTATTTCAAGCTAGCGATATTTATAAAGTATTCAATCCACTCGCAGTCGACAAGCGGCACACAAACGACAGCCGTCTCGTTCTTGCCTCTCGATCGAAGACTCTAACCGCGATGAATTAAACAACAGCTCGTGATATGTATAAACCACAGAAATATCAAAGAGTAACGCTGGACGATACTGCTGGTTACATCTGTCAATCCAAGTATGGAAATATTATGTAATATAAGGAATGTGAGGTACATAATATTACGTGGAAACAGTATAGATCATAAAATCAGTATCGATCGTTTCAAAATGTGATTGGAGATACTTTTTGGACAACTGAGATTCACTTTTGACGTCTTCGCGTTTCTTCCTGTCTCTTTCAAATGTTATCTTTCTGTCAGTATTATCCATCAGTCGCTCGTGAAAGATTTACAATTTTTGTCTAGTTACTTTCAATTTCAACTATTTTTATAAAATACTCATCACGTCGTGCAATTTTTTTGCCGTAAGTCAATTTGTATATTCTTTCGATTTTTCACCCGTTGTATAACAAAAATTTGTTTCCAACTACGTACTACATCAATGTATGTATGTTAAAAGATTAATTTACGTAATCATTGATGGAAAACCGTGTTGCCGATATTTTCGAGATAATTCGTTCCTGATTCCATCATTCATCGAGATAAATACCCTCTCAATCGATTATTGGAAATTACCGCATTCCATTGGTTTGGTTTATCGCTACCTCGAGATATTGGATTTTTGTCCAATTAACCATGAACGAGGGAAACTGCTCGCAAAAGGTCTATTAGAATGCGCTTTTCAAAAAGTTCTTCTTTCAATTTTCCCAAACGCAATATGTGTAAAATATGATTGGTGTTGTCTAGTTTGCGTTTTGAGAAATTGCTTGAATTCTGTGATTGGTTTGGCCAAATTGATTTAGAAACAGTATAACGTATAAATGAAGAGTGTATGAATGGTTAAGGAAGAAGATTGCAATGTCAATTATAACGAGGTTATTTTAACTTTGGTACGTTAACGTATAAAAAGAATTGCAAAGCGTTTCAGAATTTAATTACGACTTTACGTGTCAGAAAAACCAAAAAATTTTCAAATAATTCCTTTTCTATTTGTCTCGATACTTGTCAACTAACGATAATTTTATAAAAATCAAACATGAAAAACGACGAAGGAAAACAGAGAAACACTGAAAGGATATTTTTGAAAAATATACAAATTCTATTTTTATTTGTGCCCGAAAATCTATTGATAGTTGCCAAAATAAAAAAAAAAAAAACAAACAGGAAAATAATTTTTCATGTGGAAAACACCAGGATCAGTATTTTTTTTTTTTACAGAACTGCGATATTTCAACTACGATTTCACTGAAATCAAACTACACGGCGATAAAAGAAAGCAACCTGTAATTTGTCATTCATTTAAATATCAAGAATATATATATATATATTTTTTTTTCTTTTTTTCAAAACAATTTCTCTTATATTTGCCCGTAGTTTCGTTCATTTTATTTATTTACCTGGTGTTTTATTTCGATCGTAATTCTCGGGAAATCGAACATCAGGTCGATAAAAGTAAACAGGAAAGGAAACTTGTTGGTCAAAACGCGGAATAACGAGATCGGTTATGTTTCAGTTGAAAAACGCCGCGGCAAACGTGTTGCGCGAGACGTGGCTAATTTACAAGCACACTCGGCTGGTGAAGCGTGTCAATCCGGGACGTGTTCGAACGCATCAGCGGAAATTTCTGTTGGCTATATACGCGTAAGTCGATGCACACATGAAAACACACACACACACACACACACATATCGGCACTTTGATTCGACACCATGTAACTCTCTCCTCGTCATTCGTAATATCAAACTTTTCAGGCTCAGGAAAGTGAAAATGGATCAGCGAAAATTAATGGACAATGCTAACACCATCACGGATATGGCCAAGGTACCAGCACGCAAGTAACTTCGAATCCAATTAAACTTCCTTAGGCCCTCGAGCCCTCTGTCGAATGAATTGTATCGATCAGCTTTTATACGCGTCTGCAAACAAGCTGTTCGTTTGGCGACCTCCATCCTGGCGCAACGCGATGAAAAAAAACATTGTTCCCCTGGCGGCTTGTAACAATGCTGTCCGTTCCAATCTGTTGTTCGTTAATCTTCATTCATTTCAAGTTTTCAATTGTCCGCGCTACGGCGCGGCGTGACTCGCGGTTGTGCCCGTTGATCTGTTATTGCCGACGATTGCGATCGCCTGAGGTCGTTAAATTGGAATATCCTTCGCGACGGGATTTACGAAAGAGTCGACACACGTATGTACATAATTCTGAATCGAAGTTTCTAAACTGTTCCTTCCCTAAATCTACGATTGCATCGAACGATTCTGATAAACGAGCTGCTCAGAAATCATATCGATCAACTGCGTAAATTCAGTCGTTCGAACGTCTCGACGAGGTTTGGTTTCTGACCGGTTCGCACGTTCGTTCGAACCCCGAAGAATTAACTCCGCTTGATGATTGCCCGAAACAGACGCAGAACACAGTGTACGAGATCGTGTCAGACATGAGCACGCGTCAGGACGCCCTGGAGGAACGTTTGGTAGGGCTGGAAGAGCGGTTGATCGGCCTAGAAGAGAAACTGACCGGCCTGCAGGCGCAGCTGGAACTGTTGCCAGAGGAGCTGACCAGGTGCTTGGCTCAACACGCCGAGCGTCTGGAGCAAAGGCGCAACTTCCTCCATCCGGACACCGCGGTCGCGATGGCGTCGACCGGTAGCGGCGGTGGTGGCGGCGTCTCAACCGGTAACAGCCTGTCGATGGGCATCTCCGTGTCTGCTCATCATCCTCTGGCCAACCTTTCGAACTCGCTGCCACACTCAAGGAGCGTGCCAAGCGCGCCCAGCACCACTTCCCTTCATCCGTGGCCGGCTAGCTCGATCCTGCCGCCAGTTTCGAGCCGTACGCCCCACTTGGTGCCAGAGACCGGAAGGCATCACAGTCTGGCACATTCCACGGTGGCTACGACCACCACCTCGCAGTCAGCCACCAGGCTCACCTCGCAATCTGGAATGGGAGGGCTGGGCAACAGCCAGGGGTCCGACACGTCTCCACACAGCTGAGTCTCGTCTTTGCAGCCGCAGCACTCGTATTAAACAAAAAAACGGGACGCCCGTCGATGTGAAAAACGACGAACGACGTCCTGAAAACGACGTTCGCGTGTCGTTGAGTTCCTCTACTGCGAAGTCCAGTTCTCGCTGTCTGTAAAATCTACGTCTTTTCTGTCCGTTTGCTAAACTCTTTCGGGGATAGGAAGTCTCTTCAGGTCCATTTTCAGGTGTACTGTGTACTTTCATGGTTGGTTGATGATGGTCCGCATGGTCGTGAGGCGACATCGATGCTCGAGTACAAGCGTGAACAGCGATCCACCGTCTTTCATCAACCGAGTTCAGTTTCCTGATTTTTAACTTGGGAAACCACGAGTATGAGATCCTGCGGGGGAATCTGAACGAGCGTTCCACTCTCGTGCAGACTGCCCAGAAGGTTCAGAGTCAATCCCGAATGTACTTGAACGTCTCGATATCTGTATCTCTCGCGGCTAATTCGAATGTCCATTTATTTTAGTTGCGTCGAATCGATACGCGATAACAATACCGGACTTTGACATTTCCATTTCGGGCGAAATTAACGAAGCCTCGCGGCCATCGCTGACTAAACCTGGCTCGCCTACTTTTATAGCCGCGGGATTGAAACGAAAGTCTCGCAGTAGCATCAACAACGGGTCCAATCCTCTTCCCGATCGACAGTGTTTTCTTACGTCAAATGATGACCAAAAAGAAAAAAGAACAAAAAAAAAAAAAAAGAGAAAATAAGAAAGTAGTACTAGAGAAGAAAACTGTAGACGAACGCGCGACAAGAAGGAAGATCAATCGAAAGGGAGGGACTCACGTACGCGGGCGTCCTCTTCCAATCGCTGCGAGCTGCTCCCCTGCCCAACTTGCGTGCCTGAAAACTTTTTTCTTAATATTTAAATATATATTCGACACACACACACACACACATACACACACACACACACACACACGAACTCCATCTTATCTCTGTATACCTCGTGAATGAAAAAAAAAAAGAAAAAAGGAAAACAAAGGAGAAAGAAGAAGAAGAAGGGACGCGAACAGGCAGAAACAGGTGTGTTTAACATTTTACGTGTAACGTGCGTGGAGAACGTCTCCCCTCGTTCGAGGACAAGGGTGGCTCTTAAGCTGGACGAGCGTACAGCGAACACCTCACAAAGAAACAATTTCCATCGAGTTTACAAGGGGAACTATATACACCTGTTATATATATATATAAAAAAAAGAGAGAGACAAAAAAAAAAGAAAGGGAATAAACACGTACGACACTGTGTTCGTTTACGCGAATTTCCGTTTCGCTTTAGATTCGCGTGCGAGAGGGTGGCACACAAGACAGCGCGTAACATTTTACAAGTATTTTAAACGATACACGCGTAGATAAGTTTCCAAATGAATCTCCAGTTTTTTAATCGTTTCGGCTCGAAAACGAAACGTCCAACCGTATCTTATCTCGCTATCTTCTCCTGTTCGCGAGCTGACCCCTACGTTTTCCGCTAGTGGACGAAGACGTGTGATTCTTTTTCGGAGCTGTGATTAACGATACGATCGAAAGCTTATTAAGTACAATCACGCGGTGATGTGTCTGGCTTGTGTTTAACTAGTACTCAAAACTTGCATCATGACTTTCGAAAGAAACCCTCGGAATTTCGAGGAAATACATAAATCGATTTATGAGTCGATTTACTTATTCAAGGACAAGTTAAAAACAAGAACAAGTAATAATTTTGTTGGAACTGGTCGTTTTCTATTTTTACGTTATCGGCCATGACAAATAATAAACTGCATCATCTCGTGATTGTACCTCCGCGATTACGATCTTCTAAAAGGCAACCGAACACGAACGAAGGAGAAGAAAACCGAGTGGATCGTGTAAGTGGTGGTTAATCAATACGACGAAACATATTTTCCAACGCATCCCCGTGTCGAATGACGCTGGACGAGCTTGAAGGGCCACCGGAAACACCACGAAAAGCAAATGTCCGACGCTGATGGAGAGAGAACGCAAAGTGATCTTATCCGCTTTAACGTCCGTAGGTTACATAGAATATTATATTGTTAGCGTATACAAAGTGTATGTACATGGCGCACGGGTACAAAGGCTACGTTTCTACCGAGGGGGGGAGAGAAATTTTTTTAATAAACGGTTTACGCACGCCGGTCTACACGTGTGTGCACGATGGTCCACCCCAAACATTGATTTTATCGAAAATTATTGCCGACGAAAACGATGCACGTTCGAAGGGAATGTTCGCCATGTAACTCGACTAACCATCTCCAACGAATGATTGCTCTGGTTACAAGGGCGAATACTTTATTCTTTCGGAAGAATAAATTTATTTCTTGCCACGGGACATAGCGATAAATCTAAATAGAACATTAAGAAGGAAAATGTAACTTGAAAATGACCGTGACCCGACCCGTATACCTTTCTACACTTTGAAGAAAAATTTTGTTGGGTATTCTTTTAGAGGTTCGTGTCCAAAGAAAAAAAAAAAAAAAAAAAACTGCTTTCAGATGTGTTCAGAAATTCGAAGTTGCGAGATTCTTCGAAGTATCCAGAAAGTGTTCCTCTTTGACGGAAGTGTTCTTCTTTGACGGAGAAAGTTACGTTAATATCTCTCGTTAAGGAAAAGATATTTCCACGAAGCGTACGCGATAAGATGACGACTAATTAAAAATGCTTAAAATATAGGTCGATGCTGCGTCACGTGTTTGTGTATAGTGATGTTCCTTTATCCTCTTCGGGATTGTGTCGAGATGTTTTCAGCGTTCTATCGTAAAGTGTAGAATTTCTAACAACCAGTTTTTAAAGAATCTCTTCTAAATTGTATTGTTTTCGTGATAATGTCTAAAGCTGAGTATCACATTTATCAGGTCGTGCAATTAACTGGACCAATCCGTGCACTCACACGAAACCGTCGCTAGAAACTGAACGAAATACACACGTCTAGACAAATGGGATGTAATCATTTCGCGAATGAAATCTACGAGACTGCATGAAACATCACATAAAACAGGGAGTCGTAACTTACACGCTTATTACCTACGTGACAAATAACTCATAAATACAAAAAATTCGCTGACCTTCTTAATGCTTTCAAAGGCTGTAAGTTACAACGAACAGGTTACCTTTAAAAATTTTATGTATTTTTATATACGTACGAATGTCACAGACAAAGATATGATACGTATAATTTGTTGATTTTCTAATTATTACGTAATTTAGCTGTGCACTTTAATATAGAACAATTGAAAAGAGGGACAACCTATTTGGTTCAAGGCGAGAGGATAACAAATTCGTGATAATTTGTTTAACCTATTCTTTTGAGGCTGCATTTAATTTAGTAAAATGACGTGTGATTAATTAACGAAATATTAAATTTCAATATCTTTAATATCTACATGTGAGAGACAAAAACCTGCCATATCTTTTCCCATAAATGCGCGCAATACATCCGTATGTACAACACGCAACCCTTCGCCTAACCAGGACAGATTCGATTCAACTTACCACTTCCTGTTTGAGTGAGGATTTCAGTCAGTCGAAAAAAAAAGGTAATCGCCCTTCCTCGCCGTGTATGTATAGTAATGCGGCCGTGAAAACTCTGCGGGTCTGGACCGAAGTTGACGTGGCCACGGATCTCAACCTTATCAGAGTTAATTCGACAAGGGAGATCGAGATTCCGGCCGCGCGACCATCCTCTCCAGTCAAGTTTACGAATGCGATCACACACACGCACACATACACGGATATCTCCCGATACGGAAACGTACCGAACATCGCGTTCACCGATGGCGAATCGAGTTAATTACGTTAATCGATGCTAAACGTTGACTACGTGATCGGGGGGAGGGAAAAACAAGAATACGTTAACGAGCCGCGTCGATGGAATTAATCGCGTCACACGACGCGATGATTAATTTCCTCGCCGCCACTACCTATATACATATATGTTATATACTTGCATACATATATAATATGTATATATACGATATTATATACATACAAATACACGCGAGTGCGTACGCTACACTACATTACACATATACACACATATGAAAAAAACAGGATATCGTTATCGAACCACACACCGAATAACCACATAGACGATATACGTACAAAGAGAAACAGATAACAAGTATCGTTGATAATATATTATGATGTTCGACGCATTGTTTCGTAATATATTATTAATTTTCGAGCGCGATGATGGCGTGTTGTTGAGTTACCCGCGCACTCGACTCGTGCAGAATATTTGTTCTATCCGACCCGTGATCAATCCCGTGATGTTGTTCAGACCTCCGAGAGAGAAACGAGCATGCAGCGACAACGTTATACACTCCAGCGAGGACAAAGTGGAGAAGAAAAACGAGACGAGAGAGTGGAAAAAAAAAAGGGAGGAAGACAGTTGACGATAGTAAGATTTTTTTTTTTTTTTTTTTTTTTTTTTGATCAAGCAGGCAAGTGGAGGCTCGATGATCGAGATTCTTGGGGGCAGACGGAGGTGTTTCGAGACGAGGAGGCGGATTCGATTCGACGAAGGGAAAAGGATCACGTGGTAGTTTTCAAGCAGTTGCTTCGAGCTGAAGAGAAAAAACGCGCACACATTCACTCAGAGAGACACGTATACATTCGCGAAAGAACAAAGGCCAGTTTGTTAATCGGCAAGAATGGAAGAAAAGAAGGCTTATTCTCTGCCCTCAGAAATAGTCGAGCGTTCGTTCCCCGCGATAAATGTTGGGACCTGGTTTGTCTTGTCCGTCATTGTTTCATTTCGAAAGCGTTGTTTCGCGGCCACTCCGAAACGCGAAACGGGACCAAAGAAAAAAAAAAAGACACAATTGTCACAAAACGTTCTCATTCCCCTTCTGTCTTCTATCCTCTTCTCTGGCTGCCTCCATCCAATCTTTCTCTCTCTCTCTCTCTCTCTCTCTCTCTTTCTCTTTTTCTCTATCTATCTATTCTAGCCGATTCTCTGTTAAAAGATACATATTTTTCTTCTCTTCATGTATTTCTCTTCATTCCTCTGTCTCCTACGTCTGTACATTTCCCTTTCACCTCATCCCTCTCTCTCTTTCTCTCTACTTCTCTGTCGCGGCTCAACGTACTGAACACGACGACTCCACACGATATTTTTATATAGATTTCTTAAAAGTGCATTATAGTGCCAGGAAGACCACGCCAAGTTAACAAAATAATTAAAAGAAACAAAAGAAAAAAACAAAAAAAAAAAAGTAAAGTAAAGTAAAGAAAAACACACACACACACACACACGTAACGTGCAGTCTCAATATTGACGCATTAGGCGATTAGGAGACCAATTCTATAAGTATTGTGTAACGTGTGTAAATTATACGGGGTGTCTCGTATGCTGAATGATCGACGAAACAAATCGGCGCATTGGTCATGAGGGACACGTTCCAGACGACTTCGCGAGAACCGAAAAGTGAAAAAGGGAACAAAGGGAAGAGAGGTAGAAAAAAACGGAAATTGGATCTGCAAAGAAACCGAGGCTTTATATCGCGATTTATGTCGCGGCTCTACGAAACATGAAAGTGATCGAATATTTTTATCCAACCGAGACGCGCATGCCAATCGTTCGGACGAACGGACGTGACGTTGAGAATATTTCGAGTGTTTCGCGCTGTGTCATTCACAAATCGAGATGATCGAGGAATAAAATTATCGACAAGTAAAATTAGACTGACGAGCGCAGCGTCGTTGCTTCGAATCGTAAAACTAGCCTCCTTATGTAGACATCGAGCAGCTAGAATCGAGAGAACTTGTCGTTTTCAGTTAATGACGATCGATACGAACCGAAGATTGATGCCCCGGAGATTTTCCCACTGACGAAAACGAGGAACATCGATGAGTAGATTTATGGCTGGATCGTTTGAAGAAACACAACGCAATATCTTCGGGATTCTTTAAGCGCAGTGGTAACTATTGTTTCCTATTTTTATTTTATTTTATTTTATTTTTTCAAGAGGCTGCTAATGAGAAGAACAGGAAG